GAGCTTGAACCGCCGACCTTGCAGTTCACATGGCTTTGCAGTCTGGCGCATGAACCCACAGCGTCACTTTAATCACAGTTAACATTTATTGAGTTCTTATTCTGTGCCAGGCTCTGTTTTGAGCACTTAACATGTATTAATTCATTTTATTCTCATAATAACCCTGGAGGCAGGTACTACTATTATCCTCATTTTATTGATGAACGAACAGAGGCCTGGTTTGACTCAGTAATTTGTCCAAAGTTACACAGCCTGGAAGTGGCAGAGCTAGATTATGAACCCAGGTAACTAGATTCAGTCCTAACCTCGGGCCCAGTATTGAATTACCCCATAAGCAAGGTAACTTGTATTTACTTACTTATCTGCAATGAACATTTTCACAATTTTTTTTTTTTTTTAACCACATCCGAGATTCTGCTTCTAGGTCTGGCTGGCATCTGTCTCTCTCTCAAACTTCTTTACAGAGTCCAAGCCTCTTTTCTGATTTACAATGCCTGGCAGGAATGGAGTAGCCAGTAAACAAGGCAAGTATGGATTTGCTTGTACTTCCTCCTTCCTCTGTGGTGACATTATTCACTGCATATTAGTAAGGAAGTATAAGTAAGCCTGTGATTCCTCTGTTTCCTGAGTAATCTGCCCCTGCCTGGGCCTAAACTCTTCCCAAGCAGTGCTGTTTCACCTCAGTTTCTCTTCTCCTACAGCGAAGAGACATTTCCTGGTCTGTCTCAAAAATGCAACTCTGGGTGGCTCCATTCCTTGGCTGAGACTTTAAGGAGAAAAAATTGGGGTATTCTTTCCAAACAAAAAGGAAGCTCCTGCTTCATCAGTGCTATTTGGTTTCATGATTGTTAAGGACCATGGAGTTAGTTCCAGTTCATAGCGACCCTGTATAGGGTTACTGAGGAGTGGCTAGTGGGTTTGAACTGCCAACCTCATGGTTAGCTGCCAAGTGCTTATCCTACAGCATCACACTAGGATACCACTTTTTATATAAACTCTTGCTATTGTTCAAATATTCACAAGTGGAGAATTCGGTTTGATGGGACATCATTAATCATTAAAATTTAAACACATGAGTTTCTGTATTAAACACCTCAAATCAATCTTTGAGATTTTTAACTGAAAAGAAAAGATGGCATTTATATTAGCCAAGAATGGTTTCTATTTCCTTCCCCACCTTCAACCTATCTTTTAACCCATTCCTATAATGATCTGAATATGTCACTGTCCGGCTCCAATCTCCTCCATGACGTCCAGACCTTTTAGTTTGGTGTTATGAGGACAGCACATTGTGGCTCTCCCCAGTCTTTCCAGCTGTGCTCTTCTACATCCCCTGATCGTTCTATATTCCAGGAACACTGCGTCATCCCATTTCCTCCAGCTCCACTGCTGGGTCTTTGCTCACAATGCATCTGCTTCATTCTAAATGTGAGCCAACCTTTCTTTCCCTTCTACTTCTAAGTCATTGACAAACTCCATTAGAACATTTATCACAATTTGCTGCTTCTTGTATCTACTAGTTTGTGTGTCCTCCCCTAGACAATACTTCTTCTCCAGATCATAAACTCCTTCTGAACCAAGTTTCATAAACTTAACCAGGGATCCCTCCATAGAATTTGTTTCGCTAGGTGCCATCAACTTGGTTCCAACTCACAGTTACCCGATGCACAACAGAACAAAGCACTGCCTGAACCGGAACCATTTTCACAAGTGTTATTACACTTGAGCCCATAGCAGCTGCCACTGTGTCAATACATCTCGTTGGGGGTCTTCCTCTCTTCCATTACCAAGCATGATGTCCTTCTGGAGGGACAAATCACTCCTGATAACATGTCCAAAGTGTGAGAGACAAAGGCTCACCATCCTGGCTTCTAAGGAGCATTTTGGCTATACTTCTTCCAACACAGATTAGTTTGTTCTCCTAGCAGTTGATGGTACTTTTAATATTCTTCTCCAACACCATAACTCAAAATGCATCAATTTTCTATGATCTTCCTTATTTATTGCCCAACTTTCACATGCATATGAGGCACTAAAGGTGCGCCTGACCATGGCTTGGGTCAGGCCCACCTTAGTCCTCAAACTGATATCTTTGCTCTGGAACAATTAAAAAAGATCTTGTGCAGCAGATTTGGCTAAAGCAATACGTCATTTGATTTCTTGACTACAGTTTCCATGAGTGTTGGTAGTGGATCCAAGCAAAATGAAGTCTTTGACAACTTCAATCTTTTCTCCAGTTACTATGATGTTATTTATTGGTCTGTTGTTATTAAGCACCATGGAGTCAGTTCCGATTCATAACGACCCTGTATATGGTTTCCCAGGAGCAGCTGGTGGATTTGAACTACTGACCTTGTGATTCGCAGTCCAGTGCTTATCCTACAGAGCCATATCAAGTGTCCATTTATTGGCCTAGTTGTGTAGATTTTCTTTTCATTGAGGTGAAACCTATATTGACAACTGTGGTCTTTGATTGTAAGCATTGTTAGTCCTCTGTGCTTTCCTCAAGCAAGGTTGTGTCATCTGCGTATCACAGATTGTTAATGAATCTCCCTCTAATCCTGACGCCACGTTCTTCTTCATATAACTCAGCGTTGTGGATTATTTGCTCAGAATACAGATTGACTAAATATGGTGAAAGAATACAACACTGGTACAACCTTTCCTGATTTTAAACTATTCGGTGTCCCCTTGTTCTGTTACAAACATAGCCTCTTGGTCTACATACAGGTTCCTCATAAGCACAATTATGTGTTCTGGAATTTTTCACAAAGTTGCCCATCACTTGTTATGATCCACACAGTTGAAAGCCTTTGCACAGACAATAAAGTTCAGGTAAATATTTTTCTGGTATTCTCTGCTTTCCATGTGACGTCGGCAATGATATCTCTTTGTTTTATGTTTTTGTCTGAATCTGGCTTGAAGTTCTGGGCCTTTCTCTGTTGATACACTGCTTTCGAGTTATCTTCAGTAAAATTTTACTTGCATGTACTATCAATGATATTGTTCAATGATTTTCACATTCCGTTGGGTCACCTCTCTTTGGAATGGGCACAAAAATGGATCTCTTTCAATTAGTTGGCCAGGTAGCTGTCTTCCAAATTTCTTGGCACAGATGGTGAGCACCTCCAGTGCTGCATTGGTTGTTGAAAGATTTCAATTTGTATTTTGCCAATTTTTGGAGCCTTTTCATTGCCAATGCCTTCGGTGTACCTTTGACTTGTTTCTTCAGTCTCTTGATCATATACTATCTCTTTAAAAGGTTGAACATCCATTCCTTCCATTTTCTTTTGATACCTTCTGCATCATTCAATATTTTTTCCATAGAATCATTCATTATAGAAATTTGAAACTTGAATTTGTCTTTAGTTCTTTCAGCTTAAGAAATGCTGAGTGTATTCTTCCTTTTTGGTTTTCTAATTCCAGGTCTTTGCACATTTCATTATAATAGTTGA